CCCACTCACCAATTTGTTGCTCTATTTTCAACTTGATGCCATATCTGTCGCCGTTGGGGCCGAACGCAAGAGGACCCTGTAACAATAAACGCCGATAACTCAAACATGGCGCTCCTGTCTGATCTCCAATTTTCCTTTATCAACACGTTGATGAACGACGAGTTCTCTATGCAGCTATGTTCTATATGTTCTAGACATCGGAAATGAGTGCCGTTCAATTTCATACGCAAATTGTAGTAAGTGCAAACGGCAATGCTGCCAGCAGTGCAGTGTAAACGTAGCGGGCTCTTTACTAAACGCACGAGACTGCAGCAGGAGAACGCACATACATACAGTATACAAAAAAACCGGTCGTTCAGAAAATAAACGAATGAAGACGTCGGCAACGTGAAAGATAGATAATAAGGCAAACGGCCAATGTAATAAGGGAACGATCGAACGCGCAAATGCTGACACGATATGGCATGTTTGGAGAACGAATATACGGAGCCTGGTTGCAGATTACAAAAGACGTCCTTTCAACCGTCCCAATCAACTTTACTTTCTCGTGGTTTTAACCGCAGTGAAATCGACATCCTCCAGGCTATGTGAGCAACCCGGCTGCTATGACTTAATTGGTATACTTATTTAGAGGGTGAATGCTGAAAAGCGATGGCGCGATCAGCGGAATTTATCCGCTACATCGACTATATACTATACTATACTATATATACTATATACTATATATACTATACTATGAGAGTCGGAGGCAAGTTGTGATATTACCTAATATCCATAATATACGTGCGGTGGTAGTGAAATTTACGGCATTGTGAATGACACTGGGCGGCAGTGCGGGGCAGGTGCGGCCTGCTCCTGACAGTTCGGCTCTGACGATGTATTGTCGTGGGAAGACCGCAGCGAAACCAGACGTGTTCCGCTAAGCGGATATTACGGCCGGACCAGGACTAGTTTCGGCGAATTCGATATGATTGTTTATCCGTCTATCGATTATATGATTGATTATATTATTGATTATATCCGCCTATGATTGTTTATCCGCCTGATTAATTATATATTACCTCCGCCAAGTGGTTGGCAAGAGGTTATGTTTTCACCGGCGTGTGTTTGTTCGGCGTGTGTTTGTTGGTTTGTGGGTTTGTGTACAGCCTAACTGAAAATTTTAAGAGCGGATTGTCATAAAATTTTCAGGATAGGTCAGAAATGGGCTAACTTAGAATTGATGAGATTTTGGTGGTGATCGCAATCCAATTAATTAATTAATTAATTAATTAAATTTTCAGGATAGGTCAGAAATGGGGTAACTTAGAATTGATTACATTTTGGTGCTGTTTGATCCGCGATCCAATAATTAATAAAAATGTTTCACAGTCCTAGAATTCAGCTGCTTGGCTTCCATGTATTACTCTTTGATTCAGCTTAGTAGTGAGTAATAGTATATAGTAAGTAGTAGTAGTAGGTTTACTAGTATAGTAGTAGTAGCTTACAGTAGTAGTTAGTAGTAGTTGTCAGTAAGAGAGGTAGTTTAGTAGTAGCTAGTAAGTAGTAGTAGTAGTATTAGTAGTTAGATTAGTCAGTAGTAGTAGTCCGAGGGAGTGAGTACGGTTAGTCAGTAGTAGAGTAATAGCTAATAGTAGAGTAGTTTGTCAGTAATAAGTAATAATAGCCTACGGCCTAGTTAGTACAATAGCTACGTAGTAGTAGTCAGCTAGTAGTAGTAGTAGTAGTAGGTTGTGTTGTTGCTGCTTATTATGCTTGCTGTGTTTGTTGGGCAATTGCCGAGCCCATCACTAGCAGTAGCAGTAGCGCATTGTAGTATTGTACCGGTTGCACGCGGGTGGGCTATGTAACCTAGGCAAGTCTTTAAGGTAAACCGATGTCGAGGAACGTATTTCGAATTAATTTGCTTCAAGGGATCCCCGGCGGATCAGGAAAGTAACATTAAAATTCACTACACTGATTCCGGACTGTATAATGTGTGAGTCCATGGTGGCTATTATACAAAGCGCCATGCCAAGGCCTACCATTAACAAGCAATCAATGTCTAACATAAGGGGTACTCGATCACGGCGCGTCCTGAGACAATTCGTGAATCGTTTGAGATTTTTGTCGTGGAATTCCTGAACCGGCTTCATGAACAAGGCAAGACTAATTTACTATTACTATTAAATCTTCTTTAACTATCATCGGCGGCGCAAGCCCCCTCTCCCGCGCGGCAGGTCCCGGGGATGACGATATGCGGCTCGCTGCATTAGAAATCTGAATTAGCCTCGTGTTATCATGACATAAGCTCGAAACAATCGTACTTCAAACAAAACGAGAGGACGTGAGCCTTCTCTACAGCAACTATAGCATCATAAAAATTGACCGTGCCTGATATACTTAATATTATATAAATATAGCTCATATATATATATACTACTGAGTGATATCATATGTGTATCGTATGGATATAATAGTATACGCTGAGTACACCGCTATAAGGTACCGCGCTCACCCCTAGACTCGCATAGCTCATGAGCTATAATTACTAATATACTGAGGCGTTACGCCACCCGGCTGGCGGGGGGCGTATATTATAATATACGCTAGCTAATATACGCCAATGATAAAGATAACTAGAGCACTCGGAGAGCGCGCAGACCTCCGCCCCGCGCAGCCTGAATTCTGTCACTGTGAAAAAGCGGGTGTATTAATTAATTAATTAATATAAATAATTAAGTTGGATTTTGGATCACGCAGGGCCAATCACTCATCAATTCCTCATAGTTAGCTCATTTGGCCGCTTGACCGCATCCCTTGAAAACTTTATATGACAATCGTCTCCATAGAGTGGTCTTCGTTTTTGCTCAGTGTAGGCCTGCTACACAAAACAAACGCACAAACCAACAAACACACGCCGAACAAACACACGCGGGTGAAAACACAACCTCCTGCCAACCCCTTGGCGGAGGTAACTAGTGTGGTATTTAGCTTTTGCCAGTTCTAGAATAGCAGAGTAAAACTCTTCTATAAGATTCAGTGACGATGTTGTTTGTTTTAGATTTTTTTAGAATTGTATTCAAGTGCAGAAGAAGAGTGAAAGTCAATATCTCGTTTTTTTACTGGAATAACATGGGAAAGCGTGCGTGCAGAGCTCTGTGATAGTTCCTTGTTTTGACTGTGACCTGCCATTAATGCCCCGCCAAAATAACAAACAACTTCCTCAGTGGTTCGATCCCGTCTTCGGCACCGCGCGACAATCTGCGCATGCGCCGTGCATTTCTATCCCATTAGCACAGCAGCACAGCAACGACACAATTTAGTGGACAAGTCCGAAGCTACAGCTACAACAAGTTTATATCGATTAAAGCGAGAAAGCAAGTTTATACTTTTCCCATTTTCTGTTCATCCCCAGACGTAGGTTGTGTTGCGCACACGCCGCGCGGGTATGAGTGCGCGGGGGATGGTTCTCATTAAACTTATGCGATGCGTTTAAAGACGGCGACTGCCACGTACAGCGCACGTACAGCACAATATCAAAGATGGGATGAGTGGCGAACTGGCAAGTTGGTTTCTTAACGATTTTATATTTACGATGATAGCGGAGACACAGCTACGATTCGGATGATCTCGTGCATTGACCATTCACTGACATCACTACTGACATCAGTTCACGGCCAGGATTAATTACCACTGTGCCAATACACGCGTACACATGCGCATACTACAAATATGCTTAAATGGACATAATTTTAGCTTAAATGGACCTAAAAATTGCTGAAATGGACCTAAATATGCTGATTTGGCTAAATAGGCGCTGATTAATGCAAAACAACTGATGATTGATACAAACAACATGTTCAAATAGCCTATATCCGCAGAATAAACGCCCATTCACGCTAAACAAATGTCCATTTAAGCATAATTGTCTCCCTTTTGCTAATATCAGCGCTAAGAAAAGTCCATTTCAGCATAAATGTCTTGCTTTTACTGATAGCAGCGCTAAGAAGGGCCATATCAGCAGTTATTATCAGCGCTGATATCAGCAAAAGTGAGACATTTATGCTGAAATGGACTTTTCTTAGCGCTGATATCAGCAAAAGGGAGACAATTATGCTGAAATGGACCTTTGTTAGTGCTGATATCAGCAAGAGGGAGACATATTTGCTGAAATGGACATTTGTTTAGCGTGAATGGGCGTTTATTCTGCTCATATAGGCTATTTGTACATGTTGTTTGTATCAATCCGCGGTTGTTTTGCATCAATCAGCACTTATTCTGCTTCAATCAGCGCCTATTTAGCCAAATCAGCATATTTAGGTCCATTTCAGCAATTTTTAGGTCTATTTAAGCTAAAATTATGTCCATTTGAGCATATTTGTAGTATGACCTCGTTCGTTTTCCACACACCACGTTCATGCACGTACACACGCACGTTCACCATATAACGACATCATATGACCATGTTGACTAACTTGACTTACTAAATAGCTACAATGCATTATGTATTTATTATGTAGTATAGTATAGGCTTAATTAGCTAGTATGCTGCCTACTACATATACCTGCCTGCTGCCTGCTGCCTACTGCTATACATGCTGCTATACATGCTGCCTACTGTATATTCCTATAGGTAGCTATATCGTTTGGGGGCATTATTGTGGTGTTTGGGAATCGAGCATGACAGGCGTGGGTTTTATGATACTCGACGGGGAATTTCGAAAAGCAGACGCAGTTGATTTTAATACATTTACCATCGGTAGCGTGACATCGTGTTTGGGCTAGGTTGCAGCACCACTCAGCAGGCGATATTGATTTATTTGGGCATCATAGATTTATGTTCCTGAGGACTCACCATGTTTTGCAGCAATTACACTGCGATATTTTTTCCAGCCATATAATAGACGCACGCGCGCACACACACACACACACACACACACACACACACACACACACACACACACACACACACACACACACACACACACACACACACACACACACACACACACACACAC